CAAACTTTTATTGGTTTATAATAGATTATTAACGTCTTTTTCATGCCACGAGTACGCATATCTTGTGCAAAATGTGTCTGACAGCTCTGATGTTATAGAATTTGAAAACCTTGTTAATTATAAACCACTAAGTATTGTGGGCGATCAATTTATATTGTTGAAAAGTTATATGTAATTTAATTCTAATATAAAATATAATAAAGATTTTTTAAACCATATGATAAATTAATGTCATGTATCCGTTATCAATTTTTGACGCTTATCAACGAGAACGTACTCGTCTGACATCGAAATTAAAATACTTAAGCATGTAAAAGCAAAAGATTTAAAAAGTTGTGTCTGTACACCTCGCTTCTCGTTTGTTATGATGAAAATATATTAATTGAGCTGTATCAGCTCAAAAAATTGAGTTGGCAGAGCAAACAATCGAGTCGAGCTCGTATAACCCTTTATTGAGTTCTGCCGGCTATACATGGTTTCCAGTGTGTAAGCCTGCGTCTATAAGCATGTGTATTTAAACGCTCGTAGAAGTGTAATGTGGGTCGAGATAAATATGAATCGTTATATACACAACAATTGCCCGAGGGAATTCTATTCTAAAATGCCTTGTTAAGCCTTCTCGATGCTCGCGCTTTCTCCGCAGCCGCGCGTACGTATTATATGTGTGCATAACAGATATATCTATATAAATGTGCAATACTAATTCAAACCCGCATCAGCTCGACTTCCGCTGCGTCTCATTCTCACAGGCGAATAAAACAAAGCCCAAGAGCGCTAGTTGCAAAAAAAAGCAATCGAGTCGTACTCTTTTCCTTCTTTTTTGGGGGGTAGATAACCCACTCGAAGAACAATTTTCCGCCAAATTTTCGCTTTATTTTCGGAGGGTAGTAGTGGCTACGAACGGTCGAATCCGAGTGGCGGCAAAGTTTAAATTGGGCAGGAATCGAAAATCGTTAAAACTAACGAGTTCAGGCGTACATATACGTTACGGAAATTCGAGAGCGAAGGAAAGCGAGAGCTGTGTATGTGCAGCGCGGGCTACGTATGGAAAGTCAAACTTGTTCAAGAGGGCAGAGAACGACGAGGAGAAGAGAAAGAGAGAGAACGAGAGGAAGGATTGTGATAAGAGGGATCCTGGACGTCGAAAATCGTGAACTACATATTCAGTCGAGAGGGTGATTATAAACAGCGGGGCTCTGCTCGAATATGAATCGATGGCTATTTGGACACAATCGATGCTTATGCGCGCGAGCGTCTCGTTGAAACAATACGAGCTCTTGTCCACGCCGAGGAATTATTTCGGAGAACTGCTCCTGGCAGCGTCAAAAAATCGGCAAAGATCGGAAAACCGGTAGCCACGTATATGCATTATGCAGCTCGAGTCGTGATCGGTCGGTCGCGAGACAACAGAGAATCTTTGTACAAAATCTCTGGTGCGTTGATCAAACGATTGGAACGAACGAACGAGCGAGAGAGAGAGAGCCTCTCAGCGCCGACGTGTACTGCAGCGTTGGAGAGGCGCAACGCGTGCGAAACGATTCAGCTTAATTGCGCAAAGACAACGCACACTCGTATACATAGTAGTAGTAGTAGCAGATCGGTCGAAGAATCGCGCCGCCTATACTCACGCACACGCGCGTATTTTAGCGTCAATTATGCCGCGCGCGAACGAGTTTCATCAAGCCTTGGGTTATTATATATAACTATAGCCGAAGCTCGCGCGCGCACATGTAAGCGCACGCGCCAGACTCGCCGCGATCTTTCCAGTTGATTTTATTTTCCCGATTTTATATATCGCGCTTTTCCCTCTAGCGCTTCGCGATTATTATACTTTGGAAATTCGCGAGGAGCTCGACGCAGGCTCCGCAGCTGAATTATGTAGGTGAGCACTTCCGGGATTTGCCCGAATGACCGAATGTTATATACGAGAGAGCCGCATTCCCACGGAATTATAACGAGTGCGTTAACGTGTACATGTGTGAATGCGTTTTGTAACTCTTACGTTATATGCGTCGTACGCACATACGAGCATTGTCATATTTCTCTCTTACCCGCGATGCGCGTAGATTTTACGCCATTATAATTGCAACGAGGGCTTCCTGATGTGTTTTTCGCGCGTTCGCGACATTCTGAAATGGAGCGACGACTAGCTGGGGTATTGTTCGCCAACGATCGAGCGCGATTGCTCCTACGTATTATTATACATATATATTATATGGAATTTTTTGTTGTCGCTGCCTGTCGTTAGCTCTCATTGTTACTTGCGCCTGCGACAACGTTTAACTCGCTCGAACATAACGAATAATTATATCACGGATTTTTCAAACAATATCTCACTCGAGTTTATACATGTATAATACTTTCTAGCGCGGCTTGTTCATACGTCTGTGTATATGTATACGTTATATGAATACATTTTGACAAGGTAATTGGCTCAACTCGTGCGCGGCCGCGATTTCTATCCTATAATGGCGCGTATCGTGGATTCGATGCAATAGATTTCACGAGTGCACTACTCTCTTGCCTAGGCCGCCACCTCGCGATCTCGCAATAACTGCGCGCGCGCGTGCACATAATACGATGATGCATGAAAAATTTTACCACGACGTTCTCACACCACAGTTGCAAAGAGAAGAATAAAAAATCATCCAACTATCGAAACTCGCACGAATGTACATACATTATTCAACCTATATATGGATTGTCGTAATCGAGCAAGTATGGTGTTACGGTGGGCGATAGTATCCTGTCTGTATTCCTGCGCGAGTTCGGTGCGATAGAAGAAAAAAAAGTAGGAATAGCTCGTCTTTTCCCACTTTTTATTAGTTTTACATAGGCTGCACACGAGTACTTACACATAGATCGCAGCCGCCGTGTCCAGACAAACGAAGCGTTAATAATTATATTATTAATAAAGTTTCGTCATCCTGCGGAAATGAAAATCGGGCCCTGGCCGCGCAAATTATATCGGGGCAGCGCAAAGTCGAAGCGTTCGCTGCGCGTAGCCAAGCGTGCACTCGTATCGGAACGTACTCGTGTGTGCTCGCGAGAAAGGCAAATAAAAATTTTCGCGCTAGAATCACAAGCTGCGGTGTGCACGTCTTGTCATAGCACAAAAGAAGATACAAACGTATGTGAGAACCAGTTGGCTGCATTTCAACGCATAATAAGTGAAGACATAAAGAGAACGGGGGAAGGGAAAGAAATAAATCACGAAATAAAAAACAAAAAATTGACGATAAAATAAAAGCTTTTTCGCAATAGACGTTTCAAATTAATTCAGAAAGTCTCATCGTGTTTGTACGTACTTGAGCTCGGATCTTGTGAAGCCGAAATTAATTAGGTTTCGTGATTAGTCAATACGATTGCGTGGGTGTATGAAAAAAAAACTAATGAAATCTATATCCACGTGTTTCGGTGAGGATTCGAGAAAAATATTTGTCCGGATAAAAAAAGTTATTCATACTAGTAAATAAAAATCGTGTAAAGTCTAGCGCAGCGTGAAAAATTCATTGTAACTTTCGAATGCCGCAAGCCGCGCGGAGAAAGGAATTTTCTAAAATCGGAGTTACGCGCGCGCAATACATTTGTATATCGGGCGAAATCGCACACATGCCATACGGTACACTCGAGGAGGCGCAGAGACGTTAACGCAATGGCGAATCGATCGAAGGTCGATCAGCGATAGGTAGAGCCCCTCTCGTATCAGAGAGCTGCGCAGTGAGGAATCGGGCTCTGCCTCTCGCTTTATCTCGCATGGCCCAGTGTGTTATAGCGCGAGAGCGTACCCACATGTACATTACACGTGTGCGAGCCGTACGCAGCCGGCCGGTCTCGTGCGCACCACCGCCACCACTCTTCGTCGTCGTCGTTCCGTTAAGCTGCACTGGCAGTGATTCAAGCGCGACAAGCTAGGCGCGTGTGTGCCGCATCTATATCTCGATCGCGAGCATATACATCTATTCGTACAGATGCGATTTTTAAGTCTTGGCTGGCACATATTCTTGAAACTCGTTCGCGTATATCAAACATCAAATTATTCAAACTTTCAAACTTGTCCACTTTTACACGAGTACGTACAAGAATGTGGTCGTATGCGCCTCGCTCGTGCAACGAGACAATTCGGCAATATAATAATACACGAGGAGACGACGAGCTGTTTCGACTCTTTCAACGATTGCCAAGCCCGGTGTTTGGCTAACAAAGAGCGAGACCCGAAAACGAGCGTATCGCAATTCGCGACTGTACGCGTATGCGCATTGTCTCGATCGAAGGCCTATATCGCGCTCTCGCTGCAGCAAGACGAGTAACAGCTGTTTCTGAAGAGCAATTAAAGACGAGTCTCTCGCTACGTGCACGCGACTCCACAGAAAACGATCGATAACTGATTCGTCTCCGAGACTCGCGGTTGATTGGTCAATTAAATGGGAAGCACGTAATCTAGAGAGATAGAGAAAGAGGGACAGGGGACACTCTCGTACAGACGACGACGAGGAGGTGAGCCTATGTAGTATCGAGCAAAGCTAAGGGGGTGCTGAAAGTCGAGAGCTTACTGCACGAAAGTGAGAGAGACGAGCGAGTACAGAGAGGATATTTTAATTATCGGAAATGGGATATACATAGCCAGTACACGAGAGCGTGAGCGCGCGCGCGACAAGTAATATCGATTTAAGGCAGCCAAGCAACTTTAATTGCTATCACCTTTCGATTTCGATTCCGATTCTCGAGAGAATCTTTAATTCGCTATCTCCAAGAGGGTGCTAGGGCCTACGTAACTGCTGCACGCAGCCACCGAGTGGGATAAAAAGATTCGTTATTTATGTAATTGACTTTAGCCGCACTTCTTGCTTCGCTACTCGATAAATATATATATGTACATACATAATCTGTGGGTGCGAGTGTTGTGTGCTTTTTTCGAGTAATTAGTTCATAGCCACATAGTTGTTAAGTAAACACAAGACAATTGAAGAACGCGCCGCAAGTCGTGCCCTCACGTGTAGAGTATGTTTCAGGCAAGGAACAGAGTAGCGGCGGCGGCATGCCCGGCTTCCCGCGGCCCTCGCAGGACAGCCAGTCGTCCATGCCGGGCGTCGGCAACAGCGCCAGCGACAACGGCACCTCGGGCGGCGCGCCGGGCTCCGTCTCGGCCCAGGAGATGAGTCAGGAGCAGCAGCGCATCGCTCACATGCTCTCCGAGTCCGGGCACATGCTCAGGGCGCAGCAGAGCGAGCACGAGGCGTCCAACGACGCCGACAGCAAGAGCCCGAGTCGACTCAACTGCCCGAGCCCGTTCGGCAGCAAGGACAGCCAGAATCGCCGCCTCAAAAAGTACGAGAACGACGACATTCCCCAGGAGAAGGTGGCCAGAATTTATCAGGAGGAATTGGCCAAGCTCATGGTCCGCCGCAACGAAGAGATGCGAGGCGCGATTCCCTCCAGGTAAGAAATTTGTTATCCGTTTTTTTTTTCACACCGCCGGACACCACCGGTACAACTAAACGACTGCAGCAGTGCATTTCTACGACGAGCTATTATTGTTGTATAATGCGTCGAGCTGCTCTTATACTCTTCGTCAGCACTCATAACGGGTTTATATTTAAAGATTTTGGCAGACGTGTCGGTGCTATTAGATTTTTGTAAAATAAAGAGTAGCGAATCGAAGGCTGCGACTTTGTTGCTTCGAATAATTTGCAGCAACTCGTCACCTAATTCGCACTTATATAATATTGAACTGTCGGGCAGTACATTTTTCATTTGCAAAATTTATTTTCATACTCGCGTTTCGCAAGTTTTCAAGAATACAGAGCTCATGTGTTCCGATACTAATTAATTTTTTCGCGACTCAAACTTTCTTATTGTACCTTAATCAGTTCCATCGATTATTTGCTACCGTTCATTATTCAGGCAGCGCTAAATTCCGCAATTAGAAATCACACGTAAATGTTTATCTCCGGTGTAATAAGTACTATCTTACATGATGTGTTTTGAAATGTCGTCTCGTTGAAAAATTAATAAGAAATTATTACAATTCATCCGTTCCGATTTTTTTCTATATTAACGCTAATGAAAAGGTGGTATTGCAAATATGGATGAGGACAGCAAAATGAACGCGATTAATTTTAGTGCGATGTTTCCGTTTTTCAGTGGTCAAAATCTCCAAGGCATGGACCGCACCCAAGACGAAATCAGAATGGCTCTGGAAGCCTATCAGCGCGAGCTGCACAAATTCAGCACCGCTCAAAGTTTGCCGTACCCGCCACAAATATCCAGCCTATTGGCGCTCCAGCAGCACGCGATTCAGCAACACCACTTAGCGACCAACGGCGCCGCATCGAATTCGGCCGCAGCCGCCGCCGCGGCGGCAGCAGCAGCAGCAGCAGCGGCCGCCCAGGATCTGAGCCTCGGCAACATCCTCAGAAACAAGATGATCAACGGCGTGTCGGAGGAGGAGAAGGAAAAAATGGAGGAGGCTATGAGGCACGCGGGCAGCGCATTCAGCTTGGTGAAACCTAAGCAGGAGCCTGCGTCGAGCGCCGCAGCCGCCGTGGGCAGCCAGTCGACCCCCGGAGGCTCGTCGGCCAGCTCGCCTCTGGGCAACTCGATCCTGCCGCCGGCCATGACGCCCAGCGAAGAATTCACGGGCGCCGCGGCGGCCAGTCCGCTGCAACGCATGGCGTCTATTACGAATAGCCTGATCAGCCAACCGTCCACTCCGACTCATCACTCGGGCAATCAACGACCGCTCAAAGCCGTTTTGCCTCCCATCACTCAGCAGCAATTCGATATTTACAATAATCTCAATACAGAAGACATTGTCAAGAGGGTAGGTTAAACGAAGATCATACAATTTTTACAATTTTTTGCATGAAGTTTGAGGTATACGAGTTCTAAATTCTGACTTTTCGTTGCAGGTAAAGGAACAGCTTTCACAGTATTCGATATCTCAACGTCTGTTTGGTGAATCCGTTCTCGGTCTATCTCAAGGATCGGTGTCGGACCTTTTGGCAAGACCTAAACCGTGGCACATGCTCACTCAAAAAGGACGAGAGCCTTTCATACGCATGAAAATGTTCCTAGAAGACGACAATGCTGTGCACAAATTGGTAGCCAGCCAATACAAAATAGCACCGGAAAAGCTCATGAGGACCGGCGGCTACGGCGGCCTGCCTCGTAAGTTTAACTCAGGTCAATATAGATGTTTTGTTATTTTATTTATTCACACACCTAGCTCAGTAGCTCTACGTTGCTGTAACACGTGCATTTGTTATATTTCTTGATTGTCTCGTTGAGTGTGCCAAATTTTTGTTTGTTCGTTATCATCGTCTCATTGTAAGACATTTGAATTTGTCACTGTAAGGTTTTTCAAGAAGACGTGAATTCAATCGCATACATAATTGCACTAATGCTACGTTGACAGAGCTTCTGAACTACGTTTACATTTCTTTGTCGAGATGTTTTTTTATGCTGACAATGAATTTTACTTTACAGCTTGCGGAACACCGATGAAGCCAATGCCACCCACGAAACTCGTCCAAGAGCAATTACAAAATGCAGCGAAAGCCCAAGCCGCGGCGCAAGCGGCCGCAGCCGCTCAACATCAGCAAGAGAGTCAGATGCAACTCGGTCCACCACAGCCAAGTCCGCAACTGTCGCAACAATCGCCAATGATGCTGACTCCGCCGGGAAGCGTACACGCGCAGTTGAGCATTCAAGAGCTCCAGAAGAAGCAGCAGCAGCAGCAGCAGCAACAGCAGCACCAAAGCGGCCAGATGAATCTGCACTCGCCGCACCATCAGATGGCGCAGTCGCCACTGCGCGCTCTCCATCCACACATCTCGCCGAGCGTTTACGAAATGGCGGCCCTGACCCAGGACCTTGACACGCAGACTATTACGACCAAAATCAAAGAGGCTCTCTTGGCCAACAACATTGGCCAAAAGATCTTCGGTGAGGCAGTTTTGGGTCTGTCACAGGGATCAGTCAGCGAGCTTCTGAGTAAACCTAAGCCGTGGCACATGTTGAGTATCAAGGGGCGAGAGCCTTTCATTCGAATGCAGCTTTGGCTAGCCGATCCTTCAAATATCGAGCGCTTGCAAGCGTTGAAGAACGAGCGACGAGAGGCTAACAAAAAGCGACGCAGCAGTGGGCCAGGCCACGACAACAGTTCCGACACTTCCAGCAACGACACGGCTGAGTTCTATCACGCAGCTTCCCCTGGACCAGGTCCGGGTCCCACATCGGCCAAGAAACAGCGTGTACTGTTCAGCGAGGAACAAAAGGAGGCTCTACGACTGGCATTTACCTTGGATGCGTACCCGAACGTACAAACCATCGAGTTTTTGGCCGGTGAGCTCGGTTTGTCGTCGCGAACGATCACCAATTGGTTCCACAACCATCGCATGCGGCTGAAGCAGCAAACGCCACACGGACCACCCGAGCCACCGTCGCCCTCGCGCGAACCTGGCCAGCCGTTTGACGCCGTGCAGTTCCGCGTACTCCTAAACCAAAGACTCCTAGACCTGCAAAAGGAACGTTTGGGCCTGGGAAACGTAACTCTCAACTACCCGCCGTACTTCAATCCAAATCTCGCGGCCCTCGTTGGCAATGCTCTCAAAGAACAATGCGCTGGTCTAGACTTGTCGATGGGCTCGCTCAAAAGAGAATTCGACGACGATGACGGCGATGACGCCATGAGCAATCTCGGAAGCGAAGATTCGGACGGTTCTAGCAGCAGCGTGAAAGGTCGCGAGTCTGCGGATATTCCAGCACCAGCCAACAGCGCCCCCAGTGGTGGCGTCGGAAGTGGTGCCTCCGCAGGCCGCTCGAATCGCCGCAAGCCGGCCGCGCCTCAGTGGGTAAATCCCGAATGGCAGGAGCCATCGGCGGCTCGTGCTGCAGCGGCCGCAGCAGCTGCCGCTGCCGACGAGGTCATTATCAACGGTGTCTGCGTCATGCAAACCGACGATTACAGCGTGAAGCGAGAGCCCACCGAGGAAACCGTCCGAGTCGATCCAACTCCGGTCCTCGATCGATACGAAGACGAGGCACAGAGCGACGACGCTTCTTCCTCGGTCTCGGCTCACAATGCTCAAGCAGATCGCGGAAGCTTGTCGCCGAGCCCCAAATCGGCGGTCAACAGTCCAGCCGCATCGCCGCGACCGCCGTCGGCTTCGCAGAGTCAAACTGCCGAAAATAGTCCTAAGGAACCTGTAAAGGCTGAGCCCGATGAAACCTGGGATTTTTAAATTTAGAACATAAACCAAAAGACGAAAAAGAATCGATCGAGAGTAAGAAAGAATAAAAATAAAATAAAACATATAAATGAGCTGCGACTTAACTGAAACAGTAGCTCGGACTTGTATTTATCGTATTCCAAAGCTGTGAGCTGGCCAAGGCAAGCCAACGAAATCGGTCGTTCTTAAGACTGACAGAGCATCGCACGCGCGTCGATTTACGTAAGCGTGGATGACATGCATAGCATCATTATTATTATTATTATTATTAACGTAATAAATATAACAAATAATGCTAGTTAAGTTTTTCGGTTATTTTTAAATATAACAATTATAATATTGAAGCCAGCAATAGGATTCGGCACGAGCCGGGTCCTGCCTATGGTTAGGGCATTAACTTATCACGCGAAAAGTGAACAAAGATAAAAAAAATTAAGATATAATGTATCTTAAAACACAAATTGAGCGAAATCAAAAACGTTTACAACTTGTACACTTGCGGACAAAAATTGAAATAATATTCATCAACGAATCGGAAGTTAAGCACGAGTTGCATAAATCAGTGGTGATCGAGTTAGATGATAATTTAGCGGTAAGATTATCGAAATTTGAGAGAATCCCTTTGTCGTTTACGCGCGCGCTCTTCGAAGAAATTTGCTCCGAGCTTTCGAGACGCGGCGAAGAGTTGCAGTGAAGTATGTATAGTATATACTCCGAGAAACGTACAAGGAACGGATTTTCTTAATAACAGTGCAATTCAAATCCCCCCCTTCTCCCACCACTCTCATCTTCCCCTTGTCCTCTCCTTATACATATACACACACGTAACCAATTGTTAAATTGATTTTTAAACGAATAGAGGAAAATGAGGCGGAATAATGAAAAATAATAATACGCGCCCGCGCAAGTGACTCGTTCGTCGTACGCAAAGCGAGTTCGCGAAATTGCATAATTGTGATTAATGTTATCGTTTATATCGGCCCCGATTCCCCTTTTTTCGAGCGAGAGAACCTCCTTGTTAGCCATTAAGCTGTTGACGTTATTGCATATATTTCACTCTCGAGTTGCGTACATGCAAAAAGTACATTATATATAAATATATATTATTATTATATATATCGAGATGAAAAGATGAAGCGATTTTTATGTTGTTGAACGAGAACTAAATAAAAGATGAATTATGCGAGCCATTCGATTGGTTTTCTATTTATTTGTATAATCTTTATTCTTTATCGCTCCGTATTATATTGTACGTCGCGCCAAAATCGAGACTAGATCGCGTTCGTTATTAAGAATCGTTACCAATGTTAGTTATAAATATTATTATTGCATGATTATTATGACTATTATTATTATCATTATTATCATTATTATTATTCATTATTATTATTATTATTGTACTAGATATCATTAGTTACACGATTATTATCATTATCATCTTGATTATTAAACATTATTATTCATTACACTATATTATAACTATATAAACGTTTTGATATTTATTATAATTATCATTATTGTGGCGATTTTTGGTATTTTATTGCAACAAGTAAATATTGTACAGTTTTATGATATTTAATTATTTTCATTGCTAAGAGCAAGAAAAAGGCTAAACCAATATGAGCAAATATTAAGTGATTCGCCGATGTGAGTTTTATTCTGTTGTATTCGTTTCACAATAAAAAAGTGTAAAATTTACATTCTTTAGCAAGTGCAAGATAACGAATTGTATCATATTTAAAAAGAAAAAAAGCAAATTGTGTAATCTTTAGAAAATATGCGCATAGATGAGAAAATTTTGAATTTTCATTATTGTCATTGTCATTCACACTCTATTATAGTTGTATTACGTATAATGAAAAAATTATTGTAATCGTAAATAAATCAATGTACATGTATAGTAATATTATGCATGTATGCAATTGTGTGCGTGTATGTACGCGTGTGTGTAAATAAATATATGTATTTATTTCAAATCATCATCATTGTCGTATTAAGATTGTATTGAAGTAAATAATTATTAATAAATATTTGAAGAATTAATAAAACGAAAAACTCGGCTTGGGAAGCCAATGTGATAGAGCTTACGCGCTAAGAACGACGAAAAATGAAGGGACTAATATTATTACAAAAAAACAGCGGTTCTCAATCATATTGACTTTGTAGACTTGCATGTAAACAAAAAAAATTGGGCTTGACACAAATTCATTAAAGTTAGCCCACACAATTATATTAAATATAATTAAACGAAAAGTAAATAAGTATGTTCAAATACTGCGAGAGAACTCCCCAAAATGCGCAAAAGCACATTTTCTTCGATGGAAAACGCTCATTGTACATATAACATTAATAAATTGTATATATAGCTAATTATGAGAATACAGACAAAATTAAACGAACAAATAACTTGTATAAAATGAATAATTACTCTCTTACTGCTCTAGTTAATCCAGTAAACAAATCGTATCGAAATAATCATGCGCATGATCAAATATGAAAAAAATGATAAAAATTCAATATTCAAGTCATAAAAAAATTAGCAATGATTTAGTCGTATGTAGATTTTCGCAAGCGGTTTAAAAAGCTTCCGAAAGAACAAATAATTTGATTGAATATTAGCAAGTTTTGACAATTAAACGGGTGTGTAACGAATGTGCAGCATTGCGCGCGTGAGAACGTTATTACGACGAAAAATCGAATATTGCGTGACTAAAAAATATTCGATTTAAATCAAAACATTAGCATCAGCGCAAATGTAGCAGGAGTGTTGATTATCCGGTTAAATAAAATTTTCTAGTCTCCGTGTTGCACCGAGAAATGACGCGCATTTTTTACGACTTAAAAAATGAGTGAAAAAAAACAAAATTGTAAAGGTCGTCATTCTATATGTAACGGTAGCGTCGTATGCGAGTCAACCAGTAATTATTTTTCATTGATTTATTATCAAAAAATAAAATTGTTGTAACATGCGCAGGCTATATCACAGAGGAACAATTTTTCTGAATCAGAAATCGACTTTTAAATATATCTACTCTTAAGTATTAAAATAAATAAAGTAAAATAGCTTACCATGATTTCATACGTTTTTACTTGCCAACTTTTGCACGTAATATAAAAAATAAAAAGAGGCACGCGATGAGGCGATCAACGCCGACAGTCGATTAATACAATTAAAAACTTTTCCGCGACAGGTTATGAAAATTTATATTAAAAGTAGCTCAACACAAGAAAAATTGATCTCCAAATAAACTTATATTTCTTGTGTAAACCGTTCTCAAACATTTTCAGACATTTATAGGGTATTTATTTTCATTTTTACTACCGATTGAATGACCCGAGCGTCGTTATACGAAAAGCATTTCTAAGATTCAAATTTATTATTAAAACTGGCGTAAGATAACGAAAAAGTATTGAGATGAAAATTTTCAGTAATGTCTTATGATTTTCCATTCCTCGAGTCTGTACGATTAGGGAATTTTTGTAGATATCGAGAGAGTATATAGAAGTAAAATAGCCAATAGCTTTACTAAAATAAAAATTTTAAATGCAGGAGAGCGACAATGACGAAAAAAGATAACGTATAGTTGGCAATTCGAGAAATGTGTAATATATATCATATAAAATAGATACATGTCAACTATTAGTAGAAGTGATTCGAAAAGTGTACGCACACAACTTTTTTGTTGTTGTTTAATTCGTATTGTTTATTATTTTTTGTTTTTTCTAATAGAATGACAAAGGCAAATATTATTACATTCTATAAGACAAAAATTGAGAGGGAAAAACCATATCGTAAACCTAACAATAAATATTTTACAATATAAAAAATGTAGATAGATACTCGATAAAAATACAAAAAATTATATGAGCGAATCATTTTTCAAATTTTTTCGCACAAATTCTTCTTTTTGTTGCATGAAAACGAGTAAATATACCTAAATATTCTATACATACACAACCCCTGTCAAAAAAAGTAAACTAATAAAAGAGAGATCACAAGTACTTGGCGTAAGACTACCGCCGCAAGTCTAATTCTTCTGGCGCTAAATAGTACTGTATATCAAAAGAAAAGAACAAAGTGAAACAAAAAAATGATCAAACAGAGATTTGCCTGCAGTAATGAAATAGATTAATTATTTGTACGTTTTTTTTCAACTGTATCATATAGCTTAATAACAAAAATTATCCTGTACATTGCATCGACGCACTATTGCACTATTGTTTTAAAAAAAATTGTACGTTTATGGATTATTATCATCATTATGATATAATGAACTTAAAAGAAAAAAATAAATAAGGTATAAAAAATATTTCAAGATGTGAGAGATTTATTGTCTTTATATGATATAGCTTGTAATGCTCTTTGGCTGAATTAAAAAAAGTAATAAACGAATAAAAAACGAACAACTATTCATGGAGAATATTGGCCAAAAATTCATATCCTCTTCCAAAAAAAAAATACAAGACAATTATATTAAAACTGGATAAAGAAATGAATATTGAACGCTCGTTTGTACTTATTGCGAATGTGTTTCTGTCTGTTTTCGCAAAGCAAATGAATATCTGATACTTGACGTAAAAAAAACCTTTCATTGTATATAAATATACATATAAAATATTATTCATATGTCACTGTCTTCATGAAAAATTTCTAATTAAAAAACTGTATAAAAATTTGCTTTTATTATCATTGAAATTTCCTTTACTTTAGAGTTCGACACTTATAACGAGCTAAAAATTTGATTATCTATAAGCAGTTACAGTTTGAGTATGGATATAAAAATCGTACCCATAGAATCTTATGCTAAATATTTTTCTTTAAATTCAAAATAACAAGTGGAGACGATGTTTGCTTTGATTGGTAAATACGAGCATGATAGTAGCAACATTAGATCATAAGAGGGTCTGAAGTGTACATCTGAAATGCCATGTCATGGTATACCGATCAATGGTAAGTTCCCATAAGTAGCTATTCAAGATAGGTTCATTTAATACGAATTTAAATCAGTATTAAAAAAAATGATGGACAGAATGATTTATCAAATCAGGGTTTTATTTTCAAACTTGAAATTAAATGTGAATGTACTATAGAAAAGTCGTTCGAAATACAGGAAATTTATTGGTAAATATAAAAAAAAATCTATTTTTTCATCAATATGCGCAAGGGTCAAAGTTAAGGTTGAAAAAATGTATTAATACAAAAGCTTTTCAATTTTTATTGCATGTATTGTAAATTTTTACAGAAACATATAAAAACAGATTTTAATAAATCTATTTTCAATATTTTTCTGTTAAAATTGATGTAACTCGAAAATTCATGAATTTTGTTACAAAAAAATATTCCAGCGTGTTTTTCTTGAATATTAAATATTAATGATAAAAAGTTTTTCCCTATTCAAGTTTTCTGGTGCGATATTCTTATCGAGAATTTCACAAAACACACATGTATCTTCGTGTTAAGAACTATTTTTTAATTATCGCGTTCGCACTTTTGCGCAACGAATGATCTCTTTTAGCATACTCTAAGGTATTTTGTTAATGGTAAGTTTTACTTTAGCATAACTTGTATTTAACGATTTATTTATTATTTTTCATTTCGATTTTCGACTTTACAAAATTTATTTATATTATACCATTACGAAAGTAAGAAAATACGAAACAACGCTAAGGAATTATTTATCGATATCAATTAACATAGATGAAGTCATTTTACATGACACCTTTAGAGTTACAAAAAAAAAGATTACAGCAAGTAAGAAAAGAGAGGGTAGACGTTGAGGGTGGCGCGGGTGGGAGGAATTTGTTTTGACTAAAATCGTGGAAAACAGAGGGGGATCGTATTCATTGGGACAGATTTGATTTACAATAAGTATTAACATTAAAATGCGCACAAAAGATATTTTTGTATTATAAAGCTTTGAGTCTTTTCTTGTGTCATAAAATTATTCATATAACCAAGAGTTGTTGCTGCCTATGAATTTTCGTCTTTCCGTTTTCAGTTGAATTATTGATACGTCGGTTGATCATAGTCCTAGGGACTCCGTACATGGATGAGTCTTGACTTTTTTCTTAGAATAAGGTTGTGACAGGCTTTATCTAGGTATTCGGGCACTGTTATTTGTCAGCTTTCTGCTTAACTTTGTTTCGCTTTTGCAGTGCTTATAGTTTTCCTGGAAAAAATTGTTCATGATTAAATAGAGAAAATCAATTAGAGACTTACAAAAATTAAAAAGAATAATTTAGAATCACCATGAATGTCTTGTGAAAATGAAAAGGCATTTTTAGCGAACAAGTATGAACGTTAATAACACATAGTAGAGTCAAATCTTGAAATAATCTTGTACAACACACACACACAACAACAAAAAAACACAAAACCAATGGTATTGAAAAAAATTGCATTAAGAAGCTACAGCTGCATAATAAAATATGTTTCGCTAAGCAGATTGATCATTAAGTACAGTGATAATAAGGTTCAACAACAATTTACACGAATTAGTTCATTAAAAATTTTAATGCAGCAATTAATAAAATTAAATCATGAAAATTAGGTCATAATTTGATCATTCCTTATAACTATTAAAATATAATTGTAAATTGACCATACATAAAAAGGTATTGGGAGTTAGACTTTTAAATTTTTTTCATAATTTATAGTTTCAAATAAATAAATATTGACATTCTTATTGCATCAAAAATGTTAGAATGTACAGAATATCATTGATGCAAACAGAAACTCATGACTTGCAACATTGAGTTTTCAAAAGAAAAAAAAATTAGACAAGAATAGAAAAAGTTTTTAGATAATAAAATCAGGAAATTTTAATATCTGAAGTATAAAAATATACATAGAAATTGAAAAATAATGTGTAAGAATAGTTAATAAGTAGTGGCGAAAATAAAAAATGATCAATAGTTCAAATTTTAAGCAAAAGAACTCACCATAATCAAGTCATTCCATTTAAATATGTCCTCCTATCCTACACACACTCTTCCTGGCTTTTTCTAACACATCGAGCCACTTTTCTCTTAAATTCTGTATAACTTTCCCTCCACTCTTTCTGTAATTAAAATCATCATTATATTTACATTATTATTCAGTAAATAGTACATCTTGACCGAGAAATAAAAACAAAAATACTAACGGCAGCATCAACATTTGCTGGGCTTTCATCATTAGGATCAGCAAGCATACTTATCACACTTATGAGAATAGTTTCAACGGTGTGAACTGGTAACCACCGTTCAGATGCTTTTTCATATCCCCATTTATCATCACCAGGTTCGTGTAAGATCGATATGCATACATCACCATTCTTTTCAACTACAAAACATTGGTAAAATGAAATACAATTTGTAAAGTTTATACTTAAAAATTTGAATAATCAACTTACTGTTTGGATGCCATATTTCTGTGATGAATTTCATGCGTGGAGGCCTTAGTGGATACTCTTTTGGGAACTGTAAATGTGCTTTGAAAAAACCACCCTCACTGTAGAATAAAAAGTAATTCATTGAGAATTGGCAATTAAATGTTCATGAATTTTATGGAAAAAGATTAAGAAAAACCACTTACTACAATGTATCCGGAGGTCCAATAATAAGGACTTCCCATCTGTAAATGTCATGGTCATCTACCAAACCAGCTGAGAAACCTTCAACTGGATTTTTATTTAATTCTGCAAATAAAATTATCATATTATTACAATACAAGAGTAAAATATTCAATTTCTTATATAATATCAATCAATCAACTCAAGTAAATTCTTGAATGAACAATAAAATCATCAAGTATTGATTTATTTTTTGTATGTGAAATCAATGACTCTATTCGTTAAAAACTCATTTTTGTTTGAGACAATGAAAATCTAGTATTTCATGGTCTGATTAAATGTTGGACAACTGCAAATTTAAATAATTAAGGTAAATATTTACTTTTAGGAACTGAAAATGACAGCCAGCATGTAATCAATGAGAAAAGTTCTTTAAAAATTCCATTGAAAGAGATTTTTCATTGTTATTGGACTCTTGCATCTAGTCAACTTTCGCAATGTATAAATTACATTTTGAAACTCGAATCTATGAGATGAGCGTTACAGAAAGCCATTTCGTGAATCACGAGAGACGACTATATGCAAATTCGTTAAACCGAAAGAAGGCGTCAAGATTGTGAGGTTATGTTCTTGGTCAGCGTTGTGGTCCCGGTGTGAGAAACTCGTGTCCATGCATGTATCATCGTGCTCATTACACGCATATCATCAACACAAGGGGTTGCATGCAGCTCGACTCGCACTCGGCACCTCGAAACATATCCGAGGCTCTGAGTCGCTGTTTCGATGCGAAGATGATGCAAAACAAAAGGGAGACAGAGCATAGAGCAGTGCAAATGCCCTGGCTTGTGTGTACAAGCAGCGAATGCGAACAAAAAAAAAGGAAAGAAAAAAAGATTGAGAAAAATATATAGTGGACTCTCTCTTTCTCGAAGCAAAGCTCTCTATAAATACAACTCGCGGGGTTACACCTTGAAGCCAAGGAGAGTCATAAAGAGAAGACGCCGAGCAATAAAGCGTATAAAGAGTTTTTAACAAATGGAAAATGTCGTAATTTGTCGAATGTATACACATTCACAAAACGTCGGAGAGAAATCGTCGTCGGTGTGCGCGCCATCGTCGTTTTTAGGGGGCCGAGAAAAGAGAGAGAAAGACACACACACGCAAAACGACAAATGCGGTCGTCGCATATAGCAGGGTACGTGTATTAACGTCGGACTCCAACGAGCTCGAGCCGGTCAGAGCATTTCCGAGCGCACGAGGGGTCGTTGTACCCGAAAATGAGATGGACGAAAAAAATGAAAGAAAGAACGAGTCGAGCAGGGATTAAAAGGGCCAAGTCCCCGACTAGCTGGAGGCGCTCTCGGCTCGTAACGTCGCGTCTCGTCTATTGATTTTCGTTATATCGGGCTCTCGCAACATAATCTCTCCTCGTGGAGGTGGCGAGTCGAAGTCAACGTTCTTCTTCTTTTTTTTTTTAATCCACGTGCACGAGGACACGTATGCGGCACCTATACGTGTACAAAGACTCGATCGAAGCAACAGAAATCGTCGTTCGCGGGGATGGCTCGCGGCGCGCTTCGGTCGACGGCCCAGACGACGGCGGAGGTTGATGTACGAGACGTAGTGCACGATGCGCGTCCGCCCGTACGTATATCATGGCCTTGCGAGACTCGCTGTCGTTGGCTTGGCACAGATTACACACCGCACTATCAGACTGATACTCGAGATGATAATTATTCGGGCTTACCTGCTAGTTGCTTTCTTAAAAGTAATGATGACTGTGGTTCTGACATTTAATTAATTAATTCTCGTTTTGTAATGTCAAATGATGCTGGACGACACTGAGCTTAAAGTGTAAGCTGCTGCGGGATCACACTCGAAAACGGTTATAACGTCGACTGAATGTCGTTAGAGCGGCTCGGGAAAGTTAGACCACCGAAAGTCGCTGCCGCTGCTGCTGCTACTACTTAGACTCACTGCTGCTGCTGGTTATAATACAGCCTGCCTCATGTCGCGACGTCGTGCGGCGACGGGCGACCCGTCAATTTACTTGTATATGCGCGTGCGTGTGTCCGGACGGATTCACTATTGCAGACTTGCATGTATGCTGTATATGTATTGGCCCATGGTGAAAGCGAGACGGTCGCGACGTACGATTTACGAATGCCTTCTACCAAAACTTTCAACTGCCCTCGCGCGAGTGCAATTCAGATACTGTATAAGTATTCGATCCGCAGATCTTGCACACACGCATACAGTGTGGTGTATCAGTGTGCAATCGCGTATTTTTCAAACGATGTAGAGGGGTAAATGCGCCAATTTTTGAAAAATTATCACTTTTCTTATTTATAGAAATTTGACAAAACATTTGATAATATCACCGAAAATACCTTATGTTAGCAAAAAAGTTGAATTTTAAAATCATGTATTAATTTTAAAGTAGTGACCATATTTCTATAAACATTATTAAACGAAAACAGATGTACATTTTTTAGTTTTTGACCACCTATTTTATAAGTATTTATTTTATTTTTAAACCATTGTGATAACAAAGAATAATCTGATTCATAAAGAACTTATGGGCGATTGTTAAAATCCAAAAATCTAAAGCTTTAAATATGTAATTAAAATGATTCTATATGAGAAGATGATATTTGTCAGCAGCAACATTTTTTTTATCTGTCTGTGCATCTCTGTCCCTCTCGTTCTCTCTATTGTTGTTGCTCTTCCAATTTTCAAGGATTTGGCAATCTGTATAGATTTAATCAAAGTACTTTTAATTTATAAGTTAATATTTCAGTTTTAAAGGATTATTATTTTTAATTGTGGACTGATATGCAAATCAAATAATTTGAACTTATTTTTTAAATAAAAAATAAATTTTCATTTAATAAAGGACGATAATAATTTATTATTTTTTTTAAGTTAATTAAATAAAATTAAACATATCAAGAATTTTAGAAGAAACTCAATGAGACAAAGTAAATATTTATAGATATATAGATATAGATTTCATTCAACAATCTTTTTTTATTACTTTTCAGCTAATTTTTCTTTGGCTTTCAAATTGTTCGTTACTAGTAATTAGCTCTTTTTAATTTAAACTATTAATCTTTCAATAACTGAAAATTATTTTTCAAGGGCTTGTTGATATATATTAACTTATTATTTATTTAGTGTCTTCTTTATGTGTTGCTTCTGATCTTGTAATATTTTCAGTTTCATCAAAGTTACTTTTTTCAAAGTATCAGTCTTTAAATATTTTTTGTTAAATTCTCTGAGTTGTTATATTTATTTTGTATTTTAATGGAAATATAATTGTTACTAACTTAAAATTATTTATTTGGTAAATAAATAATTGTTAATATGACTTACCAGTGTATTTCATCAACAATGTTACATTTGATGGTCCTGCATTTGCATATTTTTCATGTATATCAAACAAGTGCTTGATTATAAATACTCAATATTCCTTTCAGCAATCACAAGCCATCTCATAAGTCATATTTCATGACCTTAGGTGATTATATACAAATTTTGTCAACTTAAAGAATTTAAAACTTGGTCATCAGAGACATGTATTGGAAATTGTAGTATATATCAATGCACAATTTGAATTAAAGTGACTATAAAGATTTATTTTGTTACATATATATCTTGGGGTAAGGGGTGGAAGAGGGGGGGTGGGGGGGCTACATTTTTTTATAAGAACTTTTTATCCTTTTTGAATAACACGTTTAAAAGTGCACAGTTTGATACATAACAACAGTTCAATAAATTATAGTACGACTAAAGACCTTTTATGCTAAGCATTTGAACGTTTGTTGTTAGGATCCCAGATTACATTACTGTATATAAAATATTAAAAATTTTTTAGCCCTTTATTAGCATTTATCTTCATTGATAAAACCTTAACTATGGAAACATCTATACCTTTCAAGTATCTATATTATGATTCAAACTATGTAGATCTTTTAAATGATGTGAGATCAATTTGTTTTTTTAATCTCGCAGACTCCTTGGAAAGTATTTGTTTTAATAGGCACTTCTTGAACCATCTGAAAGAACTGAACTTGAATTTTGAAAATTGCAGTTTAAGAATAACTACCTTATAACTCAATGATATCTGTAAATATTTTCCTTGACAATTGATACAGAGATTTAATTGATTTTTTGGTATTCGTTAAGGGATTTCATATTAAATTGAAGGTTCATTTGTTTCAAGACAAGTACTTATTAAGATTTATTTATTAAACTATATAACATAATAACCATTTAATTTATAAACAAATTAATTTTTTTAACACTTTAAATAACAACTGTTTAAACAGAAAAAGTATTTGATCAATGGATTATTTTTTTGGTCATACAGTTTTTCAATTAAAAATATTTTTTACACACCTTTATGTTAACTAGGTTGAATGCATTTTGATTAAATGGGTATCACCCTTCACCAAACACAATATTGGACGCTTCAAGTTATTTTGAGTGAGTCAGTTGTTTAAACTATCGGCCATACATATGGGTAAAAATAATACTATTTTACAAAACCGTGCGCACGTATGTCACCGATCTTGACGCGCTTTTGGTATGTTATAGTACATAGCAAAAAGGTCCCAAAAACAAAATTTTAGACCCCCTCCCCCCTCCTACCCTCCACTTCCGGTGTAATGTACTGACCGCCCAGTCAGCA